CGATATTTGAGATGACGATTAGGCTACCGAAGATGGTGGCTGTGGTTTCAGCGACGGTGTGGCTGTGGGCATGGTAATGTGATGATCACAAGTGTTGGTGGTGGACACAAATGATTTGATTGTTTGTGACCAATAGATTGGTTAACGTGTGACCAATAAATAATATGTGATCAATGAAATAGATAAAATGTGACTAATAAATAATGTGTGATTTAAAAATTTGTTGATTTGTGACTAATAATTTGTAACATAAACATAATTTGTGGCCAATTAATTTGATGTTTTTGTAATCATAAAATAAGTTGTAATTTATAAAATTTGTGATTTGTGACCAATGAATAATATGTGGCCTATTAATTTGATAAATTTTTTATCATGAAATAATTTATAACATATAAAAATTTTAATTGTGATCGAGAAATTATTTATATCTAATTAATTCGATAATTTGTAATCAAATTGTATAAAATTGTGACCTCATATTTAATTTATAAAATATATTTTTAATTAATTATTTCAAAAATAACATTTAATAAATATCTAATTTTTGAAATTTTAAACATTTTACCTTAGTTTTGAAATAAATTATAGTTAAATTCTTATTTATGAATTTTTCCCGCGATATAAAATGATGTTGTAAATTTTAGAAAAACGTATTATATATATAATTTTCTCTATTTTTAAAGTTTTCAAGGACTAAACTAAAAGCGGTTGTGCTACATGTATATAACAATTTACATAATAGTTTATCAACACATGATGTAACAAGATTTAATTTGATCAAAATCTCACCAATTAAATAATTTCACCACTCACATTTTGACATCTTATCATTATGTAAAATATTATGTAAATAGCTATACGTACAAGAAACATTTTCCAAGTAAAAATATCTCGTTACTGGAGAGACATTATTATTATTATTATTGGACTCAAAATTCGACTCTAGTTATTATTATTATTATTTATAATAATAATAATAATAATAACTAGAGTCGAATTTTGAGTCCATTTGCAATTTTATTTTTCAAGAATTTTAAATAAAAATATTGCAAAGTACGTTTTTGAATGTAAAAGAAAAAAATAATGCAAATAGTGAGATGAAAATCATTTGGACTCAATAAATTTAGCCCCTGTTTGGTGTAGATGAAAATCATTTTTTTAATAAATTTGGATAAAAGTTCATGAAATGTGTGGTTGAAACTTGAAAAGTTATAATTCATGTGAAATGTAATGTTAAAATAAATTGTTAGTTTTGACTTAATTTTGATTCAAGTTTTTAGTTGAATTTGAATCAAACATGAGTTTAAATGTTTAAAGAAGTTTGGAGGCTGACAGAAATGAAAAGGTTAGTTAGAATCTACGTTTTTTTAATCAATCATATTACATGTACACTCTTTTATACATTACTCTTTACATCATATCACGTGACGACATCACAAGATAGTTTAAAAAAACACACACTTTCTCGCCAACAATGTTTTTGAAAACAATGAAGTGTCAAAATGAATGTCAAACTTTGAGGGTATAGTTAGCGTTGTTATTTTTCAATAAGTTGTA